GTCATTTCCACAGAGTAGACCTGCTGACTATCCTTTTTAGCCTCTTCCTCCTTATCAATCAGAGCACTTTGTTTATTTCCTTCAGTACCATTGGTTCTTGATCATATGCTACCACCTGTAATAGTTGAACATCGACAAAAGGAAAGAGCCTAAATACCCATCAGAAGGATATTTGTTTTAAAAAATGGGATATCCATATAATAAAGTATTATGCAACCATTCAAACTGTAATGTTAAACAACACTTTATGGTGTATAAATTTATCTATTTCTCTGAATGAATAAACTGTCCAAAAACTTAATAGCTTAAAACAACAATTATTTTATTGTTCATGGTTCTATGGGATGTGAACAAGGCTTAGTAGGGTGGCTAGTCTCTCCTCTATGCGATGACAGCTGGGACATTTGAACAGAGTCTGAGGGTCCAGAATGGCCTCACTTAAGTTGGAGGCCTCTGCGGTTGGATGTTAGCTGTAGTACTTTGGTTATCTTCCACATAATCTCTCTCTCTCTCTGACTCTGCTTTGTGCATCTGTTTCTGTCTCTGTCTTTTTCCCTTACTCTCTTTCACTTTCTCTTTTCCAGCAGGAAAGCCTGGATTTTTTTAGATGGTGATAGTAGAAACTACAAAACCTCTTAAGGTCCAATTGGGGAAGTCCAAAAGTGTCACTTCTGCCATGTTCTCTTGGTCAAAGCAAGGCACAAGGCAAATTCATATTCAAAGGTGGAATACAGTATACCTGTTGATAGGAGGAGTCACAAAGTCACAATCTAGTATCAAAGGGAGGTGGACCCAGGGAAGTGTGATTCATTGGGGGCCACTTTTAACAATCTACCACACATGGGAAGAATAAATTGCTGATTGAAGCATTGAATATAAAACAATATATATATTATGATTTTATTCATTTAAAATTATGAGTGTTGGGGAGGTAGGGTATATGTATGAAAATAGGATTAGAGAGACATGTGAATGGAAGGATATTAACCCAAATGATAATACTGGTTATCTCTGAGTTGTGTACATTTAGATATATTATAAATTTTATTTTGTTCATTCATCCACTAAAGTCAACGAAATGATAACTAGTTCTTCAGGAGGTGAAAAAGAATAGGAATGATAAATTCTCTCAAAAAGTTTATGGTCTATCTTGAAATACTGTCTACATTTTTTTAATTTCATAAAATTTTACAATAAGAATGAATATAATCATAGAAAATAATAAAAATATTTCACTAAGAAATGTGTCCCTCCCTTTTTTTTTTACTGAATGGTTACTAGCAAGAAGAAAAAACAATTCCTCATCAGAGATTTATTCTGTTCTACTGACTTTGCAGATGAGAAAATATAGGAACAGAGAAAAAATAATGCCTTGTCCAAGTTCTCCTCCCCCTCTTTTTTAAAATAATATTTTATTGTGTTTTTGGTGAAGGTTTACACAGAAGTTTAGGTTCCCATTCAACAATTTCTATACAAATTGTTCACTGACATTGGTTACTTTCTTCACAATGCGTGAATATTATTATTTCCATTCTGTTTGTTCCAAGTTCCCTTTGCTTGTGTGTGGCAGAAATCTCAAATCCAACTCTTCTGAATGATTGTTCTGTGATCTTTTAACCATATTATTTGGTCTGTTTGTAAAATAAACTTCTTCGTTAGTTACAAAGTAGCAATTCTTAGAAAGATTCAGAGAGTGTTATGATATGCTGTTATTTCACCATAGAGGAAGGATACTGAAGAATGAAACAGGCCAAGGCTCTAGGCCTGAGGTGATATTACCCTAGAGAGCCATACATACTTGATTCCTTGGACTGTGATAGTAAAAGAGTGATCCAGGGTAACAACATTTAGCTAGTGTTGTACTAAGAAATTTCAACCAAAAGAAAAAGCACGTTTTTTGTATGTGGCAAAGAGAAGAACTACTAGTGTGTCATTTTCTTGTGAGAAATCAGAATATGATGCTTAAAGAATTTTGTTAGATACTGGCTATGAATACTAATTTAGTCTTTCTTTTTCTTGTTTCCTTATTTAAATGTATGTATGTTTATTTTTCAGGTTTTATGGACAAACAGAAGATGCTAACCTATTTAAAATGTGCTATTGTCATATCTATTTGTCTTAATATTTATTTTATAACAAGTGAGTAAATTACATCCATTTTTCTCATTTATTTTCTCCTTTAGGTTTTTCTATCATCTTTTTTTTTTTTTCCTATCTCAGTCATGGTCTTTTCTCATTATTCTAATTCTCTTGCCATTATTTATGATATGCTTATGAGTATCTGTAATATATCATGACTTACATAAGACATTAGAAGAAGCAAAAATAATTGAGACAAAGTACTTCCCTGATAAACTCATATCCTATTTAACATTTCCTCCCTTTGACTTCTGTTGCCATAGATTAGTTTTACTCATTAAAAAAATATATATAAATAAAATCATGAAATTTGCATGTATCCTTTTGTCTTGTTTCCTTGTTCAACATTGTATTTGTGCGATTCTTCCTGTCATAACATGTATCAACAGTTTATTTACTGTCGTTGTAGGAAGGGGTTGGAAAATTTTTTATATAAAGGGCCAGACTGTTGTTGTTAGGTGCCATCAAGCTGGTTGCAACTCATAGAGACCCTCTATACAATAAAACAAAACACTGCCTGGTCCTGTGCCATCCTCACAATCGTTATGCTTAGCCCATTTTTTGCAGCCACTGTGTCAATCCATCTCGTTGAGGGTCTTCCTTTTTTTCAGTGACCCTTTACTGTACTAAACACGATGTCCTTCTCCGGGGACTGATCTCTCCTAATAACAATACTAAAGGGCCAGATAGTAAATATTTTATGCTTTGCTAGCCGTATAGCCTCTGTTGCAATTACTCAGCTCTGTGTTTGTAGTGTAGACAAGTCATAGAAAATAAAATGAGCGTGACTCTTTTTCCATAAAACAGAAAACTGATATTTGAATTTTATATAATCTTTACATGTCATAAAATATTCCTCTTTAGATTTTTTTTCAACCATTTGAAAATGTAAAAACCGTTCATTGCTCGTTGGCTGTACAAAAAAAGGAGGTTGGCTGAATTTGGCTTCCAGCTGTAATTTTTGGACCCCTGCTGTAGAGTATTGCATGCTACGTATGTAGCACAATTAATCAATCATTATACTTTTGATAGACAATTGAATCGTCCCACATTTTGACTATTATAAATAGTGTTGCTTTGAACATCCTTATTCATGCATTTTAGTGAATATTATATGTATATCATCTGAGATATACCTATGAGTGGAATTGTAAGTGTAGCATAGGCGTAGATCAACTTTAGTAGGTATTGCTAAAGTTTTCCCATCCCAAATGTTGTTACTGTTTTTTTTAATTTACAATACCATCAAAAGTATAAAAATGCCAGTTATTCCACATCCTTGTCAACTTTTTGTTGTCTGTTTTACCCATTCTACCATTGTGATGAGTATGTACTGGGACCTTATTGCCTCTTTAATTGATACTTCCCTGATGATAAACACTGTTAAGTACTTTTTCACATTTCCTCACCCCTGAGTGGCGCTATTTTGTGACAGGCATGTTCAAATAGTTCATCCATATTTTTATTGAGTTATCTCTCTTTTTCTATTTGATCTATAAGAGTTATTTACTTATTCTAGTCTTTTGAGGAGTCCCTGGGTGGTACAAACAGTTAAGCACTCAAATACTAGCTGAAAGGTTGGCAGTTTAAACTCACCTGGAAGTGCCTTGGGAGACAACCCTGGTGATCTGCTTCTGAAAACCCCATGGATCACTTCTGCTTTGCACACATGGGTCGCCTTGAGTCAGAATTGACTAGTCAGCAATTAACAACAAAGTCTTTTGAAATTTGTAGGTATTGCAAATGTATTTTCTACTCTGAAGATTAACTTTTAACCCTCCGTGTGGTCTTTTGATGACTAGAAATACTTATAAAGTATTGTAACTTCTCTTTTTTTAATTTTTTCTCTATTATTACTACTTTCTGCATCTTGTTTAAGAGATTTACTATATTGAAAATATATAAAGATGTTCTCCTAGGGTTTCTAGCATACTCTTTATTATGTTTTCTATCTTTCACATTACGGGGTATAATCCATGCAAAATGTATTTATTTTTATGATTGCCAGAAGATAATATGCCTTTTTTCTATTCAGATATTCATTTGACCTGGAACAATTTATTAAAATCAGCATCCTTTGCCTGTGTAAATGCAGTTGTTTCTTTGTCATCAATCAACTGTGTCGGTAAAGGTCTTTTTTCTACTGGATTCATTATTTTGTTCTATTAGCTCTCTTTTATCTATTCCTGTGTCAGTATCATACTGTCTTGATACAGTAGCTTCATAGTAAGTCTTGATACTTGGTATTTTAAGTCTTTTGGCTTTGTGTTTCTTCTTCAAGATTGCCTTGGCAATTCTAGGTCCTTTAAATTGCCATATGAATTTTAGAATCTGTAATTTTGATTTAGATTTATTAAATCTATAGTCAATTTTGGGAGAATTGTCTTCTTGACAATATTGAATCATCCATTTGAAACATTTAATTTGGTCTATGACTTCTCTCAATATTTTATAGCTTTCAGAGTGGCGTCTTACACATCTTTTTAAAGGTTTATTCTTAAATACTTGATGCTTTGTAATACAATGGTAAGTGGAATCTCCTTTTTAATTTTATTTTCTATATGTTGTTGGCATAAAGATACTGTTTAGTATACTACATATGTATATTTGCATATATATGTTTATACTTATATGTATGTGTACATGTATATATTTCTTCCATCTGGCAACCTTGCTATACTTAATTATTAATTATAAATAATCTCCAGCTTCATTTGGATGTTCTGTGTAAACAATCAGATTATTTGCAAATAATAATTTGTAATCCTTGTGACTTATTTATTTATTTATTATTGTCTTATTTTACTGGCTAGGACTTACAGTACAACATTGAGTAGAAGTAGTGACAGATGATGTGTCCTCCCTTGTCTCCTTCCCAATCTCAGTGAAAAAGTTTTTGATATTTCCCCATTAAGTAAGATTATTTGTGGAATTTCCTTTAATTCCTAGATGGCTTAGAGATTTTATCCTGAATATTAACAAATGATTTATACTGACCTATTGAGATACTCACTTAACTTCTCTTCTTTCTGATATTAATATGTTGAATTACACAGATTTTAAAAGGTATGTTAAACCAACCTTTCATTTCTGGAATAAACTTAATTTGATCTTACTATATTAATCTTTTAATAAAATTAAGTAATATTTAAGACTTATGCACATATGTTCATGAGAAATTGACCTATAATTCCCTTTCTTGTAAAACTGTTGCCAGGTATTGGTATCAAGATTATGCTGGGCTCTAAAACTGAGTTGGAAAGTATTTCCTCTTTTTCTATTTTTTGAAAAAGTTTGTTTAATATTTGTGTTATTTCTTTCTTAAATGACTAGACGTATTCACAAGCGAAGCCACTTGGACTGGGAGATTTTTTCATGGGGAGTTTTTTAAAGAAAGATTTAATTTCTTTACTGGATAGAGTATTATTCAGATTTACTACTTTTCCTTTGTCAATTGTTCTAAGTTGTGTTTTCTTAGGAATTGTTTCTCTTTTTCTTTCCTTATGTTTTTCATTTTTATCTTTCTTCTTCTCTTTTTAATTATTTTTCTTCATCAGTCTTCCTAGTGGGCTATCCTAATTTAGATTATTCCAAAAAAAGTCAACTGTTGACTTTGTAAGGTTTTTTATATTTTTTTATATTAATTTTTTATTCAGTTGATTTCTACTGTTACTGTTTTTAATTGTCCTACTTTCTTTGGTTTTAATTCATCACTCTTTTACTAACCTTTCGAGATGGGTAATTCTCTTTCTAAGGCTTTCTAGACCTTAAAATATATATTTGTCTCATTTTCAGTTACTATACAAGGTCCTATACACAAGTGTCCTCAAACTTTTTGCCCAGATAACTGGATTGGTTACCAAAACAGATGCTATTATTTCTCTAAGGAAGAAGGAGATTGGAATTCGAGTAGCTACAACTGTTCTACTCTACATTCTACACTAGCTACAATTGACACCATGGAAGAAATGGTAATACACACTCCTTTATGAATTATTTTAATTTGGGACACCCCCAGTAGCAAATGAAAATATTCAAACGCCATTACAGTTTTTAAAACTTTTCAAACGTGTTTATTTATGTATGTAGAATATTGAAATTGTTCAGAACATACCATGTAAGATAGTAGAAAAAACTTGGGATATTTTGTTTGGAGAGTGTAAGAGCTGAATGAAGTGGTAGATGTGATAGCTGTCCTTATATTTCAAGGCGTATAAACAGAAGAACTTGATAATATTTGGAAACTTTTTTAAAGCCAGTACTCCACAAAGAGAGAATTGTCTCAGGAGGTTCTCCATTCCACTCTCTCTGAGGAACTGTCCTCTGACCTCTCGGTCTTGCTTTGGTGTCTGTCTCTGAGGTAACAGGAAAGACTCTGTCAGAGAACTCACTAACCAAAAAAACAAAACCCATTGCCTTTGAGTTGATTTCTACTCCTAGCAACCCTATAGTACAGAGTATGACTGCCCCATAGTGTTTCCAAGGAGTGGCTGGTGGATTCAAACTGCTAACCTTTCCAGTTAGCTACCAAGCTCTTAACCACTGCGCCACCAGGGCTCCTACCTATAATTAATGAAATACTGTAATAGAAGGTGTTCCCCCAGACCGACTATGAGCTTCCAGTGAGCAGAGACCATGTCTTATTTGAAACTGTACCCTTAGCTACTGCACAGAGCCAGGTACAGAATTAAAAACTTAATGGATCCTTGTTGACTAAGTATTGATTGACATAACAAATATCGTATGAGTAAAGAGATCCCTAAGAAGTTTAACAAAGGGTTGCAAAACTCTGTATCTCTGGCTTTGTGAAGTCTGTTCTTTCCTCCAGTCCCTTGTATAGTAAGTGTCAGTGTTTTCTCTTGACTAGTCTCTTAAAAGGAGAAAGACCAACAGAAGAGGTAAAGTAATTTTATTTAAAAAAAATAAGAAGAAGAATGTACAATTGAGACATGTTTCAAATGTAAGGCACAACACAGCAGGACACATGTTAAAAGAGTATTGTGTTACTTCTGTGATGAACAAGGTATATTTATGCAGTCAGCATGAAGACTGGGTCAAATTTAAAAGGATGTGAACCAGGCTACACCAGTTTATAGATCAGCACAAGCAAACTAAATAATTTGGAAACAACAAAAGGTATAGAAAGCTGAATTAAATGTGAAAAGCTAGACAAAGAAGCAAATGAAGAAGTAAGCTACAGGCTCAATTTAATAAACAGGGCTTTTATATTCAATAGTTTCACTGCTGAGTTCTGAAAGACTTTGAAAATAAATATTCTGAGAAATTCTTGCATTGATCTTTATAGCTCCTCTTGAGAGAAAAAAGATTCAATTAGTAGGAAGATGAAAAACTGAATGTAAATAAAATGTTTCAGGGATTTAAAAAGTGCAAGACAATATTTAAAATAATCACATATAGAAATCTTATCAGCAAATATTGGCCAAAATAGCCAAGATCATGGCATATAAGGATCAGAAATATCCCAAATTAATTAATTTTGAACTTAAGAAAAATCTTTAAATATATCAAGCAAGAATATTTTGGATCAAGAAAGAAGACTTTGATCATACAATATCCTCAAATATTTTGAAGCTCATAGAAGACTACAAAAGCTGGCAAAATTTGAGTGACAAATAGAATAAGATGTAGCTGCCTGTGAAGGAGTAACATAAGTAATGTATAGAAGATCCTTAAATGGATTCTTTGAAATTATTTAATTAAAATACTATGCATGTATCTTTAAATGACAAAGTAATATTTTCCCTAGTAAAATATCAGATGGAACTTGTTTCATGAAACTTGTTAAATGAAATATTTCCCATATTCATTTCCACCTAATTTAAAGTTTCTTGCATTTTTAACAAGGGCTGCGTAGGTGTTATTATTATCATTACTGAGCAAATAATAATTAACATTTTTCATAGGACAATATCTAGGAAACACACTTCTTAAGTCCTTGTTACCAAGACTACAAATTCTGAGCCTCATCCAAATTTCCTGATTATTCAATAACATATATCCAGTTAGTTTCCAATACATATTATCCTGCCTTTTTTTGGCAAACAAACTCTTTCCTAAGCTTTGCATATGCATTGCTCTCTTCTCCCTTCCCCTCTGTATTTACCATGGAATCTTCCTCTCTTTCCTTCCATATTCACCTTTCACAGCACACCTGTGTGAAAGATGCTTCTTCCTGTAAACTCTTTAATTTCACTTCACAATTTCACTGTATGCATTATGCTCATTATCTCCTTCTTATCAAGGAAAATATTTTCTAACTCTATGTCTACATAATTTTCCTCACTACATATGAAATCCTTTGGGTCCAGGAATAATGTTTTATTAATCTTAACTCTTTATAAACCCAAAACTTAGTCCAGTGAATCAAAAAATATTTTACTTCGAATAAATTTATGGAATGTTGCAGTAGATGGTATGTTAAAATGCCAAAGGTTATTAGTGTCACTGTTAGCAGGCAAGATTTAACCATACCATGTGGTATGACCTAATTCCTTTGTATTTATCATAAAATTGAAACACAGCGATACAATGTCAAGTTCCTGATTTCCCAGCTGTTTAGTAGTAGACTAGACTCAATGACTTTCTGTTGTTGTTGCAGTTCGCTGCTGTCAAGTCAATTCCAACTCACAGTGACTCCATGTGCACAGAGTAAAGCTGTGTTCCATAAGGTTTTAAGGCTGTGAGTTTTCAGAATCAGATCACCAGGCCTGTCTCCTGAGGCACCACTGGGTGGGTATGAACTGCCAATCTTTCGGCTCGTGGTCGAGTGCTTAATCGTTTTTGCCACCCAGGGACTCCAATAACTTTATGTATGTATGTATGTATCTATCTATCTACACACACATTGTATATATACATTATATGTGTATATATAATATATACACACACACCATATGTATACATTATGTATTTTTTATATTTATTTTATATATATGTGTGCATGTGTGTGTGTGTGTATGTGTGTGTGTATATATATATATATATGTATATATATATAATTCTGGAGCCACTGGTGGCATAGTGATTAAGAGCTTGGCTGCTAAGCAAAAGGTCGGTAGTTCAAATCCATGAGTCACTCCTTGGAAACCATATGGGGCAGTTCTTACTCTGTCCTGTAGGGTCTCTATGAATTGGAATTGACTTGACGGCAACAGGTTATATAAATTCTATGGTAAAAGGACTCTAAGGTAGCAAGAAATTTTCAACATTGAAAGAGGAAGGAGAAAAGAAATGTAGAAGAAATGTCGGGAGAAAAGCATTATACTTATCACTAAATGATGCTTTCAGAAATTTAAATGTTTGGGAGAAAATTTTGATAACTAGATTCTAAATGAATTGCCTGTACAAACTGTGTGCATGTGTGTCTGTGTGCACAAGTGTGTGCACACTCATGCATGTACACTGATAGCTTTGGGAGAGAAATAGAGAATATGAAGTAAAATATAACATCGAACTGAATAATTTCTGGAGCCACTGAGGTTGTATGAACCCTCGAAACTATTGCCCTAAGATAATCTTTAAACTTTAAACCTTAAACCAAAACTATCCCCTGTAGACTTCTTTGAACCAAAAAATAGTTTCGCTCAATTAGTAAGGTATGTCTGCCTTGAGCATTATGCTCTTTTAAAAAATTATCTATGTGAGATCAAATTGGCAACAGCAACTCAAAAGGTTTAATGAGAAACTTAGGGGACAGTAAGTTTAAGATAATGGTGTGGGAATAATTTGGAAAAGGACAGTGAGAATGGCAGCTCAACTTGAAGAATATAATCAATGTCACTGAATTGTACATGTAGAATTGTTGGAAGTGGTATATCTTTGGCTGTATATATTTTCACCAAGAAATTTTTTTTTAAAAAGCCTTATAATAAATAATTGATGATTAGAAATGATACACAAGAGCTCAGTCACAAACTGGCCTTCCAGGAACTTACAGTTTGAAATTCCTGGAGGAATATATTTCCAAATTGAATATTTATCAATTTAGAACCAAAAGATATTTTACAGAAAATTTGTCCCAGATCTTTGTTTTACTAATAAGAAAACTGAGGGTCAGAGAGATTAAGGTACTTTTTCAAGATCACATTCCTATTTTCTGGTGGAGACAAGAGTTGAACATTTCTCACCTTGCTCCTTAGAACCTGCAAACAAGAAGGACTTACTGGGTTGCAGCAAAGACTGCCAAGTAAAATTATGAAATTTATTTTGTCTTTCAAGAATTTTCTTATGTGCTACAAATGCAGTTCTGATCACTGGATTGGACTGATGATGGAAAACAATCAAACAGGAGAATGGGTAAATGGAACAGTATTTAACAACTGGTGAGTATCTATGAAAAATTCAGTTAATGCAATCTTTTCTAGGACTTGTGAATTAGATAAATTTCTCTAGGGCTTGAGATTAGTGTGCATGATGGAAAGATGGAGTGGGGGGAAGGTTGTGCCATTTACTGAAATTAGTCCCAAGAGTCAACCCAAACCAAAAAATCAAACCCATTGCCGTCAAGTTGATTCCAACTCAAAGCGATACTATAGGACAGAGTAGAACAGTCCCATAGGGTTTCCAAGGCTGTAATCTTTATGGAAGCAGACTGCCACATCTTTCTGCTACAGAGTGGCTGGTGAGTTCCAACTACCAACCTTTCAGTTAGCAGCTAAGTGCTTTAACCACTGTACTACCAGGGCTCCTAAGAGTCAACCAGAGAGGTTAAAATCAAGCTGTAAAAGGACAAGATCTCCTATTTGGTGATTTTGAAAATAAAGACATGAGATTCACATACATAGTGCAAAACAACATTAAATTTTTTGCCTTATTTCTGTCTTCCCCAATTCTATATCCATTCTTCAAGCTTCATGTTACCTGTCCAATTTGATGTTCATTTTAACCTGATTTTCGTACAATTTGTCTTATCTTGTCTTTGATCTTGTAATACAGAAGCCTGGTTATAAAGCTCTGGGTTGAATGCACCCATGACCTCAGTGAAACTGCCCCCATGGTGACTCCAGATGCTTAGTTTGTATTGGAGTTTCTCAACTGCAACATTACTGATATTTTGGACTGAATAATTCTTTGTTTTGGGGAGATTTTCCTGTGCATTATAAGATGTTAGCAGCATCCCTGGCCTCTATCCGCTAGATGACATAGCACCCTCTCTCCAGTCTCAACAATCAGAAATGTATCCAAGTATTCCAAGTGTCCTGGAGGAGGAGGGGGCAAAATCACCCCTGGTTAAAAACCACTGGTTTATATGAACTGATCACGCCACTGATCCCATATAACTAACTTAATGTTAGTGTAACAAATACAAATTCTTGGAAGAGAGCCCTTTTTGGATATCTCAACCCTAGCAAGAGAGGACTGTGTCCAGAACACCCTTTCAGTATTCTGGACAGATAAGATTTTTTTTTAAGGTGTCATTGGAGAAGTAAGAAATGACAGGACTTCCTAGTACATATTGTTTAATCCTTTTCTTATAGGTTTCCTGTGAGAGGGGGTGGAATATGTGCTTACCTCAGTGATGACAGTGTGGCAACAGCTCGATGCCACACAGAAAGAAAATGGATTTGCAAGAAAAATATGCACCATTTAATTTAATATTTCTGATGACGGACTTATATGCCTTTCCTTTAATTGGCTGCCAATTGTTGCTGAAATAAAAACTGAAAAACTTGTATGGCATATAAGACACATTGTACTTTCTAGCCATATTTCACCACCAGCTTCTCCTTTCCTGATATCCTGATACACTTGCCTAATTTACTTTTTATTTTTTTAAGCATAACATACTCACTAGATTCAAAGGTATTTTTCAGGTAGTGTTTCTTTTTTATTAGGCCTCCTGGAATGTTTTCTCATTCTTCTATACAATGTTATTCATTTGAGATCTCAATTCATTTGTCAAATATTTAGGGAAGGATTACCTGAATCCAGTGACAAGGTCAGACAACCCTACTTTACATTTTCATAAGCACCACACAACTTTTCTTTACAGCACCTATCAAAACAAGGCTGAGGAACTCTTTCAGACGAAAGGAGAGTAAAAAGACATGATCTTTAAATGGAAAAATTGTTTCTAAACTGGATATTTTTACTGTAAAGAACATTTTTATGACAACTGGCAAACAAAGAGTGTCTGAGAAGTAGTTGGTAGTATTGTGTCAATGTTAATGTCCTGATTTTGATAATTGTATTTTGGTTACGTAGGAGAAGGTCTTTGTAGGAAATACACATGAAAGTATCCAGGAATGATGGTGCATCAATTTGGCAGTTTATTCTCAAAGGTTCGGTGGGGGGGGGAAAGTTATTTGTTCTATACCTGTGATCTTCTTCTAAGTTTGTGATAATTTCTAATTTTTTTAAAAGTGCTATATATAAAAAATTTGATAAAACCTAGAAAAAACAAACAGTACATTTAAAACTTTTACCCAGAATATTCATTTTTAGGTTTTATGTCATTGAAATAAAAGCACTACTATTTAAGACAATATATTCAGGATGTTTATTGTAGCATAATTTATAGTAGCAAAACCTAAAAACAAATTGCTCGTTAATAAAGAGGTTATTACTTCAGTGATGATAGTGTGGTGACAGATAGGTGCTACATAGAAAGAAAATGGATTTGCAAGAAAAATGTGAAAATGAATGTGCAAAAAAATATATAAACCCATGCTATTATGGAACCCTTAGAACTATAAGAAATTTTCATAAGATACTAAGAGTTAAAAAAAAATAAACATACAGAAAAGCAGACTTATTTGATCATATTTGTTGTAAAATAAACAACAAATAAAAAAATTCTGGATATGAAAACATGGGCTCACATTGGATTATATTATCATATAAAACATTTGGAAGGGTGCATACTAGATTATTAGCATGGGCTACTCTGAAGCTAAGACCAACATAGATGACAGAGGGAGAAGGGATTTTGGTATTTAATTGCATTTTAAAAGTCTTACTCCTCAAAGATTAACAGTTAGAATATTACAAGCCAAAAACTTTGCTGATTGTCCCTTTATCATTTTTTTTTTAATCTTAATATTGGCAAATCCACTTGAAAACGCTGCTACAGATTTCAGAGTAAATTTTGTTTTCTTTGGTGGCAGCATAGCTGTTTTCTGTAGCTGGTCCCTTTATGAAGAATCTGCAAGAGAGAATAAATACATTGTTAATCATTGGTGCTAAAGATGTCCATTTGTGTTGTTCAGCTAATACTGTCCCTCCAAAGTTTCAAAACATTTCAAATACCTTGATTCATTAACCATTGCATTAACCATTATCTCTGTAATGTGGCATTATAATCTGTGACTGGCAGAGAGTTCCAGAAAGTCTGCTGGCAAATGACAACTCTAAGAATAAATTTTCCCCCATATTCCTGTTCTAGTACTCCTTCCATGGCTCCACGTGGTTCAATTAGATTAAAAAGTAAGATTAAGTCTACACAGACAGCTCTTGTAACCTCTGTTGGTCTCTTATATCAAATTGTACAATGGAGATAATAATATCCACCTTATGATACTGTTATAAAGATTAAATGAATTGATGTTTGTAAGGAATTCAATACACAAACTGACCCACATAAATACTAATTATATTGTTATTATAAAATATATATTATAAAATATAACATAAAATGTTAAATATAATAATAAAGTTATCTATAAAATACTGTAGTGTTGGTGATTTATTCTATGAGAGATTTATTCAGAATGCTATAAAAGCTCAAGAAATGATTGTGAAAGAAGTGCATATGATCATCAAAACTTCAAAATTGATAAGGAGCAAATAAGTGTTAAATTTTCATATTGGAGAATACATTTTTCTCAACTTGATTACATTTGAATGTTGTATTGAACATATTTTGAACAAAATCCCTAGGAAGGATCTAGACTGTAATGTTAGAACTCAACCCTAAAGGTAGTGCTGAGTGAACTTATCATGAGAAAAAAAAAGTTAGCCACTTCATAAGTAATTAATCACGCAATGTTCAGTGACACAAGTCTACCTTCCGACACAGTCTTCATTATATTCTCTATTCCAAATAAGGTCTTGAATCAACTTATTTAGATTCCTTAAGTTAGGGCAATAAGATAGAAGACAAGTAATACTTAATAACAAAATAAGGGTGAAGGGAAAATAGCACAATAGCATCTTTAAAATGGTTACCATATTGTATTAGTTTCCTAATCCTGCTGTAACAAATTACCACAAATTTAGTAGCATAAAATAATGCAAATTTATCATCTTACAGTCATGGATGTGAGAACTAAAATGAATCTTACAGGGCTAAAATGAAGGAGCACACGGAGCTGTGTTCCTTCTGGAGATAGTGGCAAAGAATGAGTTTCTTGAATTTTCCAGCTTCTAGAAGCCACCTTCATTTCTTGGCTCATGGTCATATCACTTTGATCTCTAATTCTGTCTTTACAGAAGACTCTTTCTTTCTTTGATCCTCCCCTTCTGTCTTGGTCTTATTAAGACCTTTGTGATTACACTGGGCCCATCTGAATACTCCAGGATAATATCTCTACCTCAAGATCCTTAATCACATCTTTTGCTATATATTCACAGGTTTTGGGGATTAGGAGGCGATCATTTGGGGACCATTACTTTGCATACTGTGCATAAGAATAAGACTTTAATTTGCCTGTTTAACTATTTGTGTAGCTATTTAAGCATTTTATTATAAAAGAAATATAAACACATGAAATATGTTGACGAAATTTTTTAAAATCCTCAATAATTTGAAGAAACTGCTGAGAGAATTTTGGATTATTTTGTGCAGTTTTATATTTCTTGTCTTTTAACATTATGATGATATGCTATAAAAATTATACACTGCTTTTTTAGTTAATAATGATAGCTAAAATAAACACTGGGAACTTTGAAAATAGAAGACTATGTTGGTTCAGTCCACTTTTCCATATCAAGTGTGAATAATATTTGAACAACAAACAACTACTATTCTTTCAAATCCTTTTGCTTTGAAAACCAAATCAAAATATCCATTATTAATCCCAGTTTTACCAGCTGCTGTCAAGTAGATTCCAACTCACGGAAACCCCTTGTGTATCAGGACAGAACTGTGCTCCATAGGGTTTCCAGTGACTGATTTTTCTGAAGTAGATCACCAAGCCTTTCTTCCAGTGCCTCTGCATAAAATTGAACTTCCAATCTTTCAGTTAGAAGCAAAATTCATTAACTGTTTGCACCATGCAGGGACTCCATCATTAATCCAGTGAACATTAAATTACTTTTCATTGTTTTGAGTGCTGTGGTACAGAAAATTATTTCAGAGTATAATGTGGTGAATTTAAAGATGTTTTATGAAGACAAATCCTACAATACACAAATAATCTATTGCCTTTAGGAAAAACTCACAGCTTTGGATCTAATGGAGAACCATCCACCCAAGTCCATGTCTTCTTCAGGGAGGTAACATTAAGTCCAATCCACATGTAGTTTGATTGTCTCAGAGTTTTCTGTACAAAAGCCTAAAAAAGGGGTGATGAATAACTAAATGAATAGAATATCTAAAAAATTCATATGCACCAAGAGTACAGAATTTTGTTGAAAAACTAGCATTCTCCGGGGGAATCTTATAGTAATCAACTCATATTTTACTTAAAAACAAAAAAATAAAATAAACATACATGTACACACACACATTCATAGAGTACTTGCAAATTGAATACAAGTTATTGAGAGCCAAGACTAATATGAATCAAGTCAGGCATTCGCTTTGACTACAGAATTTGGAGCCCTTGTGGTGGAGTGGTTAAAGTAATCGACTGCCAACTGAAATGTCAGCATTCACTTTCAGTGCAAAATTCAAAGGGTACCAAAACTCAGTAATCAGGATAAATGATCATTTAAACACAGAGGGGAAGAAATTTGAGGACAGCTATTTTTAATTGAAGAGAAGCTAATACCCTTATCATGATACTAAACCACGTACCATTTCAAGTTGGTCCTGTATAATTAATAGGTGAGATTTTCTGTCCAAACAATACCCATAACTGTCACTCCAACTTTTCAACTCGTTAGAGAACCAATAACACTTCTCTTGATATTTTAGCCATTCTGATGGGCACAGTCCTATAAGGAAATGGGGGCAGGGTAAGGAACAAAAATTATATCATATATATATTTCTGAAGATTGGCAGAAAGAACGAATCTTATGTGTTGTATGAGTGTGTATCTATGATAAAATCACTCGTAAAAAGGCATTGAATCTCATTAGATGCCAAAAATTCAAATGATAATCCATGGGAATTAAAAAAATTAATTTAGTAAAAAGAAGTAAAATCCAGACGTAAATAATTTTTTTTCTCAGGCCATGAAATACAGTAGCTAAAATAATGTGAACCATTTAAGATAGATATTACATTAAGGTGACTTGGGAAATTAGATGAAATATTATGAATGCCACTTAGAATTTTTCCATATAAAGTTGTAGAATCTCTCTTTTCATTTTATTTTTTTTGTGTGTGTGTATCTGCTTCTCCTTCTTGATATTAAAAAAATTAAGGTTAATAACAGGTTTTTTTAACCTCTTTCTAGTTGAAAGAGGCTCAAGTCATTTAATTTTCTTACATTAAAATCATGTCTTTTCAAATTGAAAATACCTGAGATTTTTGGTATAATACTGAAGGAAAGTGAGGTATATATATATTAATTGAGGTAAAATTCACATAACATAAAATTCACCATTTTAGAATATATGATTCAGTGGCTTTTAGTACATCCATAACGTTGTGCAATCATCACCATTATTTAATTCTAGAACATTTTCCTCACTCCCTCCAAAAAACCATACCCATTGTCTTAGTCATCCAGTGCTGCTGTAACAGAAATACCACAAGTGGATGGCTTTAACAAAGAGAAATTTATTCTCTCACAGTCCAGTAGGCTACAAGTCCAAATTCAGGGCATCAGCTCCAGGAGAAGGCTTTCTCTCTCTCTTGGCTCTGGAGGAAGGTCCTTGCGATGCATGTCTTCCCTTGGTCTGGGAGCATCTCAGCGCAGGAACCTCAGGTCCAAAGGATGCACTCCGCTCCCAGCACTGCTTTCTTGGTGGTATGAGGTTCCCATGTGTCTCTGCTCGCTTCTCTCTTTTATATCTCAGAAGAGATTGGCTTAAGACATTATTCAGTCTTGTATACCTCATCAGTATAACTGCTGCTAATCCATCTTAGTACATCATAGTGATTGAGTTTACAACACATAAGGAAATCACATCAGATTACAGAAGGGTACACAATCATACAATAGTGGGAATCATGACCCAGCCAAATTGATACACATATTTTTTGGGGGACATAATTGAATCCATGACACCCATTAAGCAGTCACTTACCACTTCTCCCTCCCCCCTCAGCCCTGGCAACCACTGCTTTCTGTCTCTATGGATTTGCCTATGATGGATATTTCATACAAATGGAATCATAGAATATGTGACGTTTTGTGTCTGGCTTTTCACTTTGCATAATATTTCCAAGGTTCATCCAGGTTATAGTATGTATCAGTACTTCATTCCTGTTCATGGCTGAAAATATGGATATATCCCATTTTGTTTATCCAATCATTAGTTGATGGAAATTTGGGTTGTTTCCAGTTTTTGGCTATTATGGATAATGCTGCTATTATTATTTGAAATAGTTGACTTAAAGTCTTCGTCTAGTATATCCAATGTCTGGACTTCCTCAGAGACAGTTTCTGTTATTTTTTTTCCTGTGTATGGACCACACATACAACACACATGCATATATACAACAGTGTGAATGCACTAAATGACACCAAGTTGTTCGTTTACAATGGTTAATTTTATGTTATGTTAATTTCACCTCAATTTTTTTAAAAAACATAAAATAGCTTACAGCTTATTATACAATATTTAGACCTACTTAAAGAATGTTTGGAAACCCTGGTGGCGTAGTGTTTAAGAGTTAGGCTGCTAACCTAAAGGTCAGCAGTTCGAATCCACCAGGTGCTCTTTGGAAACCCTATGGGGCAGTCCTACTCTGTCCTATAGGGTCGCTATGAGTCAGAATCGACTCAACAGCAATGGGTAGTGGTGGGTTAAAGAATGTTTAATGGTGCCTATATGATTCCATGTTTTACCTGTCATAGCTGTTTTACCTTTGAAAGGTCTCAATATAATGCTACCTACCATGATGAGGAATTAACTTGTCACACAGTAAAATATTTGATAAAGTTACAATATTTCAGCTGGTTTGGGACTGGTACATGTAATAACAGATAATCCAAAAGAATAGAGTATCAATAAGTAAACCATGAAATATTTACAGTTTTCATAGGTGACAAAGGAGGGGACACAAACAAGTGGATTAGAGAATGATCAGGTGATAAATAATAATACAATAATCCGAATATTCATCTCATATCATGCAACAAAATAAATGTCAAAAGGCTCAAAGAATTAAGTATTAAAAAGTTAAACTATAAAACGATTAAAAGTAGAAGGAAACGTTTTTAAAAATTCTGTATGATAGGAAATTCTAAGCTTAAAATTATAACTGATAAGTTGTTAGATATAGCTCCTTTTTTCCATTTTGTATTTCAGGAAATAATAAATAAGAGATAAACAAAATAGTTATTTACATACTGCCTTATAATCATAATTAACTTTCCATATATATGGAAACTTGATTTTAAATTCCATGAGGGTAAAGAGTATTTCTTTCTTTTTTTTTTTTAATAGCTCCACTCCCCACTGCAAAAAAAAAAAAGTAAAGAATATATCAATCATGTTTTGGGTACAAAGTAGATGTATATCAAATCTTTATTGGTTAATTTGATTTGCTGCATATCTATTGCGTATCTGTTCAATAGGGTCTTAGAGAATTTGTACAATTAAAACTAGTGTGGAACAAAGCCTGGAGAGATAACTGTTTGGCCTGTAGTACTTGAAGCACAGTGGTCTGTGTCCTTATTACCTTTATTTCTTCTTGCTTCACTCTTCACTTTCACATTTCCAAGTTCCTCTTGATAGGTGATATTTGGATTATTTTCTTTTGAGCATTTTAGCAACACTCCCTGAAAAGCTTGGAAACAAAATTATTTATCATTGGGTAAATATCCTTTGTGCAACATCTCAGAGACCAATTCTTTGGGATGATTCCGATGATATGGGCCAGAAATAACTGAAAGGATAGCTGTAAAGTTTTTGTTTTTGCTTTGTTTTGTTTTTTTTAATTTTCATGTCTACTTACTAGAAAACAATTTCAAATCGTCTATGATTAATTCATTTAGTGAACACGTATCTGTTGAGAGTCTACTATGTGCCAGGCTTTGTCCTAAGAACTGGTGATACAGCAGCAAGTAAAGTAAAGTTCCTGCTCTACGAAGTATATAAATGCTCTTTCCATGCTTTTCTTAATGTTTTATTGAAACCTTAAAGACTGTATTTAGCACATTGTATCACAGTTATTTATTTGAAGCTTCACCATGACTTGCTTTTTTTTTTAAATTTAGGGAATTTGTAATAATGTTGCTCTGTAAATAGTTGTTGGACATAAGCAAGAGTAAACTAAATACACCCTTAGATAAAATGTATAAACATATTTCAGAAAAATAGTGAAATTCTACCTATTCATAAACATTTAACAAATTCAGAAAGATGATTTTCAAACCTACCTGCTCATGTGGGAGTATACACACACATTATTATCGTCATCCTCTTTATCATCACAAACACACACAGTCTTTATATATCTATTTTCCATCGTTAATTATACTTCTGCACACACATACATGTTTTTCCCCCCATTGGAGTATATGCAACTTGAGGATAAGATTATCATCTCATCACTGTAGACTATAATGTAGAGTTTGAGATGCTGTAAGATATTGTAGTTTCTTATTAAATCTTTGGTAATTTAATGAATAATGAATGAATATGAAGACTCACAAGAGAAAAGTAAATCTTTTTTCCTTCTTATTTTTAGTTAATTAAGATCTTCTAACTTACCCAAAAGAGTCAAGGTGATCAAAGTCAAGGTCAGAATACAATTTACTATTCCAGATTTTCCCAGTAAAGTTTTTATACCAGTGCAAGATCACTGAAAAATCTGAGAGATTAAACACATGGATTAGCTTTAAAAAGTACATTTCCACAAAGTTATAAAAATTTTAAGGATAGGGTATCGTGTTTTTGTTTTTCAATGGATATTAAGCAATCAAAGCATAAAGGCTAAGTAAATAGAAAAATACACACACTTGTTTTATTTAATAATGATAGTACTCTGGCGGATCAGAAGCTCTGATACCTCCTGTCGTGAATCATAGAAATTGCTGATATTTGAAGTTTTTGATCTGTGAAAATAGTATTAATCTACTGCACCTAATAATCCTCCCATGTATTATCATAAATATGTAATTTTTAGTTAATCATTTGTTTTAACATAATATTCACAAGTTATTCAAATTCATTTCATTTACAAAAGATGTAATACAAATTGGAGCTAGAGATTGCTTCAGGTGTCTTACTACTCTAGTCTTTAAACAAAACAAAATCCTAAAATCCTCCCTAATGCATGAAATGTAGCCCTGGTGGTGCAGTGATTAAGAGCTTGGCTGCTAACCTAAAGGCTGGCAGTTTGAATCCACCAGCCACTGCTTGGAAACCCTATGGGGCAGTTCTACTCTGTCCTATAGGGTCGCTATGAGTTGGAATTGACTGGAAGGCAATGGGATAGAGGAAGGGAGGCAACAGGGTGAGAGGGAGCTCAGGTTCTCTGGAAGTACCTTGCTACATAGGTTTGATTTTGAAAACATCAATGTCTTACATAATCATAAAATAAATTAAGCCAAATTGAAAAAACAAAACATGATCCATAGCAATAAAATGCAAAATGAAGCAAAAGAATCTAACTGGGTCTTGAGTTGGTGATTTCACTATAGAAATGATTCTAAAACAGTCATTTGACGGTAGTTATCCAGTGGGATACAGACTAAGAACAAAAGAACTGCAAAAACATTTTAATTTATTTTAAGTGATTATATTATTGGCAATGCTATTTTATGCTGATTCTTAAACTACAACACAATACATATGTGAGATTTTTCAAAGTATGGAAAAGAAATACAAATATACAATCACAAAGTTAATCTAATATCATATTTGTTATTTGAAAAATTTTCTCCTGATATAACCCTAAAATCAAGAGAATTAAAATTGTACTTGTTTAGGGTAAATGGCGTATAGCTGTCTTTTGTTTTAGCCTAATTATTTATGTGAATTTTGAATCATACTCCCTAACATAGACATATTTCATTTAATATAGTAACTTGCAATTGCCTAATAGTTAAAGTATTTCCTGATCTTGCCTGTAATCATAAAGGCTCAAATTGCCAATCAGATTCATATGAAATATGTCTTACTCACCCCATGCTTTACTAATGGTTAGTAAAGGGAAACAAGACATGTATATTAGCAAATATCACTTAAATGTCTGGGAGCTGCAAATCTATTATTTGCAACTTCCTAAGCTCTTGATCTGCACCAAAACACATTTTGGTTTCCGAGTGACACGTAGAAGCGGAGTGGGAAAAAAGCTTGTGCAAAGGAGCCACTACATTTTGTATTCTCTCGGCTTTACTATCTCTGTTTTCCAAAACAAAACGCAAATTGAGTATAAAAAGTAAAGAGTTGTGAACCTGTGGAAATCTGTAAAAATCCACATGAAAGCAGCAATTTCTTACAAATAGGCCTGTCTGTAACGCTAAGAGAAATCGGATTGAAATGAGTGCTATCACAGAAGTCCAAGTGAAGGGACGCCGATGGTAAGAACAAATGTCTCTCTAAGGAATTAATGGATTTTAATGATGTACATGATACTTGAGGAAGGACTCAAAATTTAAGCTAGATTTTCATAGATGAAGAAGCAGGGAAGTGTGTTCTTAAGAGTACTACATCAACAAAGATCCAGAGATCAAAAGAGAAATATTTAGAAACGAAAACAGGACAAGAGGACACAGGACATGTCATCTCTATAAGTGAGATTGTTTATTTGTGTCTTTCATTTCTGTTTATCTCTTTTTGCCAACTCACATCAAAGTGGCAGGATGGATTCTCATCATGTATGAAGCGTATGCTTTAGGTGTTAAATTAAAATGTAGGTCGGTGGCGTACAAACTTCGTTTTTTGAGGCAAGTTGGTGAAGACATGTTTCAAAGGCTTTAAAAAGTTGAGTTAAAAAATTAGCATTAAAAATTGCCATATTTATGAATGATAACATAAATATTCATTGATGTTAAATTATTAATTGTAATTGAAAGTACATAATTCCTGAGAATATGCTTAAGAAATTATGCCAGACAGAATATTACTTTAAAGCAAAGAAATGTTAGTGTCACATTGATAAATACGAAAAATTCTAAAAAAGAGAGAGAAAGCCTTTCCCATAGGAATTTTGTAAGATTAAGTAAAAGAAGACAGATAAAGCACCCTGTATAATATGTGCCTGCAGCTCGTGTTACTTAATTGGTTATAGTGTTTGTCATTTTTAGATCCTCATCATTATTATTAAAAGAGAAGGGAGGGAAAAAGGGAGGAAGAGAGAGGAAGAATGAGAGAAAGAGAGAGAAAATGAAATATTCCAGAAACAGAACAGAATATTGGAAATAACAACAGCTGGAGAGGAAAAGAAAGAAAGAAGCTGAATTTCATACCTTCAAATTTAAGTTGGGATGTTTGAATGGAACTCCTTTTCTTGAGTTGTACATTCAGTGTCATGTATCTTTCTTCATCTGGCATCTTCATATGTGTGAATGTGTGTGTATATATGTATGTGTTCTCTTTTCTAAAGCATGATACGGAATAAGGAAAAAAAAAATAATATGCCTGAAGCTAATCAGAGGTTGTCCTCAAATTGTCCTCTCAAAGTACATACAAGGGTTCACAGTTTGACCTGCTGGTGAAAACCTCAGAGGAAATATGTTTTTTTAAAGTTTATTTCCTATGACCTCAATAATCAAAATTTTTCAACTCTCTACCGCATATATAATCTAATATCATATTTAGTATTTTTAAAATTTTCACCTGATACAACCCTAAAGTCAAGGGAATTGAAATTGCACTCATTTAGGGTACATGAAGTATAGCTGCCTTTCGTTTTAGCTGAATTATTTATGTGAATTTTGAATTATACTCCCCAATATATTCATATTTTATTTAATATAGTAATTTGCAATTGCTTAACAGTTAAAATATTTCCTGATCCTAAAACAACATTGATTACAAATCGTGCTAATAATTTAATAATATAATTTGAAGAGAAACAAAAAATACTAACAAATTTTTGGCATTCTAAAGACTCATGCCAAATAGAAAAAAAGAAGATTCAATCTATAGTGTAGAATTTAGGAATGAAATCATATTTTCCAATTACCTTTTCTGTTACTTGAAGGCAGTGCCCAATATCTATGAGGCAGGCCAGAAAACTGAGCTTTATTTTTTAATCAGATTTATTAAGATATAATTTTTGTACCATAAAATTCACTTATTGTAAGGATATAGTTTGATAAATTTTAGCAAATTTATAAAACTGTGTAACTATAGCCACAATCCAGTTTTAGAACTTTTCTATCATGTCTTGATACCAGACTAAAAAGAAAAATGTAATTCTGGAAATATGATTTTATAATCTGAGGGAAAATAGTTTCAAACTTTGGCAATCAAATCCCAAATCTCTGGCAATTGTGGCAAATCTAGAATAGAAACCCAGTTCCTTTAGTCTTTGCCCCATAGACTTCACTGATGTGGAAAATCCTGAAGGAAAGAGAGCTGGACAGAGCAGGCAGCCCTGAGGGGAACACAGCAAGTCCATGCTTACAGGCAGAGGCCCAGGCCCATCAGCCCCTGAACTCTATCTCCTCTTTCCTCTGATCACCTGCCAAGCGCCAGTTGGCCAAAGGCAAGTGGAAGCCAGAGGGCAAATTATCCCAACAGGTTAATGTTCCAGGGTAAAGAGTAGGATATAGATGGTGGGCAGCAGATCTGGAAAGGCAAATCAATAATATCTGCACAATCATCCTTTTAATTTTGTAGTAACCTAAATATTATTATATCTAGATGATCACAGATACAGTAGCATTGTTTTAGTTACTAATACCTTGCTATAAATTTTACCACCATGTATCTCCAACTTTTCTATGTATTTATCAATAATCAGGTGGGCAAATAACCTTTTTTCCCACATCATAGGCAATTCCTGTCCCTGCATTTTTTCTCACATCACAGGCAGTTCCCATAGTCATTTCATTCTCTCTCAGGTAGTAAATATTGTTCTCTCTATTTAGGCTAATGAAAAGTTGAATTTAATCTAATATCTAACGTCTAACTTTTACCTAATTTAACATGTCTTCTTTCCCCAAGCTTGGGCTTATTTGGGGTTTGAAAGCCCTCAAGAGAGCCAGCAAGTTTGATGGGTTCTGCCTGAGCTCCTCCTTCCCTCTCTAGTAGCACTTTCTGCCCCCTAAACCTACCCCCAGGAATGAGTGAAGGTGGAATGGAGTAGACATAAACATGCAGAAAAGGTCTTCCTACCTGGACAGTTTTAATTTGTGCATTGATACTCCAGATGCTCTCTTTTCTCTTGAACTACTTCTGTGGGTTTTTCAGAAATTCTGTTGCAGAGAAATTCTGTTTGTCTGATGAGGGTAATCCTGTTTACAAAACACTGTACGCTGTTTTCTGCCTCCTACTCTATACAGCCAGCCTCTTTTCATTGGGGTTGACTTGCCAGTGGCAGGAAGCACATTTAGGTGGGTTTCTACTCTAGGTGGTTCATGGTTAGCTCCTTCTCATGGAATCAACACCGGGCCAAAGAGACAAATTCACTTTAGCCACATGCATCTTACTCCCGTCACTTCCACTTTTACTCTGTGATTACATGTGGTTCTAACCAAAGCTTCTCATATTGAAAGCATCATGTCCTACATGTGTCATATCCTAGCAGGCACTTAATGACTCTCAGGGTTTTAACTTGGCTTAAGGGAAGACAGAAGTTCCTCTCTTGCTTTTCACCACAGAACAGCTGACTGCTCTTTTCAGATAAGTCTCACTTCCCAAACTCCAAACACTCATGATGTTGTTGGCAGGTGCTGTAGAGTTGGTTTTGACCCATAGCAACCCTATGTACAACGGAACAAAACACTGTTGGGTCTTGTGTCATCTTGACAATCGTTGCTGTGTTTGAGCCAATTGTTGCAGCCATTGTGTCAATCCCTCTCTTTGAGGGTCTTCCTCTTTTTTGCTGACCCTGTACTTTACCAAGCATAATGTCCTTCTCCAGGGACTGGTCCCTCCTGATAACATGTTGAAAGTACATGAGGTATAATCCATACTGAAGGCTGTAGTCTTTGATCTTCATCAGTAAGTGTTTACAAGTTCTCTTTACTTTCAGCAAGCAAGGTTGTTTCATCTGCATATTGCAGGTTGTTAATGAATCTTCCACCAATCCTGATGCCACATTCTTCTTCATATAGTCCAGCTTCTCAGAATATTTGCTCAGCATACAGATTGAATAAGTATAGTGAAAGGATACAACTCTGACCCACAACTTTCTTGATTTTAAACCATGAAGTATCCCCTTGCTCTGTTTGAACAACTGCCTCTTGGTCTATGTACAGGTTCCTCATGAGCACAATTAAGTGTTCTCAAATTCCCATTCTTTGCAATGTTACCCATAATTTGTTATGATCCATACAGTTAAATGCCTTTGGATAGTCAATAAAACACAGGTAAACATCTTTCTGGGATTCTCTGCTTTCAGCCAGGGTTCATCTGACATCAGTAATGGCATCCTTCGTTCCACATCCTGTTCTGAATCTGGCTTGAATTTCTGGCAGTTTCCTATTGATGTACTGTTGCAACTGCTTTTGAATTACCGTCAGTAAAATTTTACTCATATATGACATTAATTATATTGTTTGATAATTTCCACATTCTGTTGGATCACCTATCTTTGGAATGGAAACAAATATGGATCTCTTCCAGTTGGTTGGCCAGGTAGCTGTCTTCCAAATTTCTTGGCATAGATGAGTGAGTACCTCCAGCACTGCACTCATTTGTTGAAACATCTCAATTGGTCTTCTGTCAATTCCTGGAGCTTTGTTTTTCACCAATGCCTCCAGTGCAGCTCAGACTTCTTCCCTCTATACCATCGGTTCTTGATCATATGCTACCTTCTGAAATAGTTGAACGTCAACCAAATCTTTTTGGTACAGTGACTTTGTGTATTCTTTCAATCTTCTTTTGATGTTTCTTGCATCATTCAATATTTTGCTCATGGAATCCTTCAAATTTGCAACTCAAGTTTTATAATATTTTCTTCAGTTCCTTCAGCTTGAGGAATGCTGCTCACGTTCTTCCCTTTTGGTTTTCTAACTCCAGGTCTTTGAGCATTTCATAATAATATTCTACTTTGTCTTCTTGTGCTGCTCTTTGAAATCTTCTGTTCAGCTCTTTTATTTCATCATTTCTTTCATTTGCTTTAACTACTCTATGTTCAAGAGCACATTTCATAGTCTCTTGTGACAGCCATTTTGGTTTTTTCTTTTATGAACTCTTAATATACTCATAAACTCTTAGTATACTCTGGAAGCAGATGATGGATTAAAGGTTGAAAGTTAATTTTGTAAACTGTTAACACATCTGTACAGATTGTCTAGCACCTATGGTATTGCTTTTGCATTTTTGATTTCGGATAAAAATGAACAACAGGAATGGTCACATTTTAACATCCTACTAGTCATACAGTATGTTCCAAATATTATTTTGTTCCAGGCAATATTCTGGAAATTCTTTTCAGACAAAAATTTTAAAGGTAATCATTTCATAAAAATATAGTTGAAAAAATTTAAGCATACAGTCATTAAGTTTGTGAACCAGACTCATTGTTGGAGGGAATCTAATCTGTTTAAATTAATTAAAGAACACTTGAAGGAGAAACCATATAGTTATTCTAAATATGTGTTAATGCAGATCCCTGAGATTTCTGAGAACTTGACCTCTGTTCAGGTCCAGGAACTCTGAATTTGTGAATATACTTGAACCAGGCTGTTAACCTGGGAAAGCTCTGGCGAAGCGTGAGAATTATATACACGTTTGAGTGTACGATCATCAAGTCATATCATGTAACTCCAAGACCAATGAAGCCCAAAGAGGGAGTCTATGGCATATATCCAGACTTACCTACAGGCGGAATTGTTGCTAGAGAAGAACACTCATGTTTATAGAAAGTCTATCTTGGCATTCACTCATTCACATGGTATCACTCACAACTCTGGGTTCATTGGTGAAATTTAGGACCAAGAAGCCTGTCCCTCAATTTGGCCTGAAAAAAATGCTGCTGATTGGCCTTTATTTCACTCTTTTTCTGTATACACTTGAAATAAATAAATCCTGTTTGATTTACTCATGGGGTATCTTTGTCAGGTTCTCCCATGGAAACATAGCTATATTCAATACAGAGGTCTTACAATAAATACAGTGAGTAGTATTGTAAGTAAGTGCAGCTTGAGAAGACAAAGGAAAGTATTATATCGTTAGTCAGAACAAGGCCAGGGGCCGACTGTGGAACAGACCATCAATTACTCATATGCAAATTCCAGTTGAAGCTGAAGAAAATTAGAACAAGTCCAAGAGAGCCAAACTACAACTTTGAGTATATCCCACCTGAATTTAGAGACTCTCTCAAGAATAGATTTGACACATTGAACACTAATGACTGAACACCAGACGAGCTGTGGAATGACATCAAGGCCATTACACATGAAGAAAGCAAAAGGTCATTAAAAAGACAGGAAAGAAAGAAAGACCTAAATGGATGTCAGAAGTGACTCTGAAAGGTGCGCTTCAACATAGAGTAGCTAAAGTGAACAGAAAAAATGATGAAATAAAAGACCTGAACAGAAGATTTCAAAGGGCAGCTCAAGAAGACAAAGTATTATAATGAAATGTACAAAGAACTGGAGATAGAAAAACAAAAGGTAAGAACACGTATTTGTTTCCATTCCAAAGAAAGGTGATCCAACAGAATGTGGAAATTATCAAACAATATAATTAATATCACACATGAATAAAATTTTGCTGAAGGTAATTCAAAAGGAGTTGCAGCAGTACATCAACTGGGAACTGCCAGAAATTCAAGCCGGATTAAGAAGAAGATGTGAACAGAGGGATATCATTGCTGACGTCAGATGACATTTCCTGGCTGAAAGCAGAGAATACCAGAAAGATGTTTACCTGTGTTTTATTGACTATACAAAGGCATTCGACTGCGTGGATCATATCAAATTACCAATAACATTATGAAAAATGGGAATTCCAGAACACTTAATTGTGCTCATGGGGAACCTGTACATAGACCAAGAGACAGTTGTTTAAACAGAACAAGGGATACTGAATGGTTTAAAATCAGGAAAGATGTGCATCAGGGTTGTATCCTTTCACCATACTTATTCAGTCTGTATGCTGAGCAAATAATCGGAAAAACTTGACTAAATGAAGAAGAATGTGGCATCAGGATTGGAGGAAGATCCATTAACAATCTTCGATATGCATAACACAGAACCTTGCTTGCTGAAAGCAAAGAGGACTTGAAGCAGTTACTGATGAAAATCAAAGACTACAGCCTTCAGTATGGATTATACCTTGACATAAAGAAAACAAAACTCCTCACAACTGGACCAATAAACAACATCATGAAAACAGAGAAAATACTGAAGTTGTCAAGGATTTCATTTTATTTGGAGCCACAATCAACGTTCATGGAAGCAGCAGTTAAGAAATCAGATATGCACTGCATTGGGCAGACCTGCTGCAGATCTCTTTACAGTGTTGAAAAGCAAAGATGTCACTTTGAGGACGAAGGTGCACCTGACCCAAGCCACGGTATTTTCAATTGCCTCATGTATGTGCAAAAAACGGGCAATGAATAAGGAAGACCTAAGAAGAATTGATGCCTTTGAACTACGGTGTTGTTGAAGAATATTGAATATACCATGGACTGCCAGAAAAACAAACAAGTCTGTCTTGGAAGAAGCACAGCCAGAATTCTCCTTAAAAGCGAGGATGGCAAGACTTCGTCTCACATACTTTGGACATGTTATTAGGAGGTACCAGTCCCTGGAGAAGAACATTACACCTGGTAAAGTAAAGGGTCAGCAAAAGAGAGGAAGACCCTCAATGAAATGGATTGATACAGTGGCTGCAACGATTGGCTCAAGCATAGTAATGATTGTGAGGATGGCGCAAGACCAGGCAGTATTTCATTCTGTTTACATAGGGTCGTTATGAGTCGGAAATGACCCAATGGCACCTAAAAACAATAGTATTATTCAAGAAACGTTAGATTTATGGATAGGGTAATCAATTTTGAAAGTGGAACTGGAATTCTTTTAAATCTAATTTTTCTAACTTAATTTTAAATCCAAGTAACCATAAATAATTTCTTCAAATAACAACAATAAAAAGCCCATTTTGAGCACTATAAAAACACTCACTGATATAATTAAGATCACTTGGATTACATTTCACCAAGAAGACATTCAAATGGCTACCAAAAATGATACTCAATGTCACTGGCCATCAGAGAGATCCAAATCAAACCCGCAATGAGCACAATGAAATCACTTTCACTAGGGTGGCTAAGATTAAAAAAAAACAGAAAAGGATGTGGGGAAATTGGAACGCTTAACCATTGCCGGTGGGAAAGCAAAATGGTTCAGATGCTGTGGAAAACAGTGTGGTAGTTCCTCAAAACACTAAAAATAGAACTACCAGATGACCCAGCAATTTCACTTCAAGGTACAGACCCAAAAGACTTGAAAGCAGAGACTCAGAGACTTGTACACCAATGTTCATTGCAGCATTATTCACAATACCTAAAAGGTGGAAACAACCTAAATTATGGATGGATAAACAAAATGCGGTACTAACATAAAATGGAACTACTCAGCAACTAGGAGAAATAAAGTCTTAATACATGCTACAATATGGACGGAGCTTGGAGACTTTATGATGAGGGAAGTAAGTCAATCATAAAGGACAAATGTTGTATGACCTTATTTATGTAAAAAGAGAAGAAAAGGCAAATGTATAGAGACCAGTTTTTATTAGTGGTTACCAGGGGTGGGAGGAAGGAAGTTGGGGGGGAGGGGGTTAAAAGTAATGGAAAAATTTCATTGATTA